GAGCTAAATTAAGGTAGTAGATTCAGGGAAGGCAGAAAAGAACAGAGAAAGAGAGGAAAGATGCAGTCTGAATCAAAGTGCAATATTTTCTCATCACAAGTCACTTAAGTTTTTATCTGCATTTCATAAGGAATCTTTTAGAGGGGTGATTTTTAAATTTATTTATCCTTTGTCAATGGAAAAACCAAACTCTGTAAGATATTTTAAATAGGTTTATCCTGGCCAATCAGAGTGGCTGAAGCCTGGAGAAAACACAAACCCAAGAAGCCCTGGTCCCAGGGAAGTCAGGTTACAGATTGGTTTTATACATTTTAGGGAAGCACGGACATGAATGGGTACATGGAAAATATACATCGCGTCAGCCTGAAGATGGAACATCTGAAAGTGGGTTTTAGGAATTCTTTAGTTGGCAGTTGGTTGAGACAGTTAAGTTTGGTCTAAAGACTTGAAATCAGCAGAAAGGAATGCTCTCATTTAGACAAGGGGCTTGCAGTGCCAAGGCCCTTGTTCCGTAGATGAAGCCTCCTGGGTAGCCACCCTCAGAGAGAATCTATGGTAAAGGTCTCTTGTCAGAACTTCAAGGTGTCAGACTCTCAGTTAATCTCTCCTAGCTCTGGGCAAGGCCTAGAAATGGATGGCCTGTCCACCTTAATGGAGATCCTCTACAGATGCAAATTTCCCCCACAAAAGACAGCTTTGCAAATAAAGTGTGTCAAGTAAATATTTTTGGAGGTGAAGTGTTTTTATTTCCTTCAGGGTCAGCTGTCATGCAGTGTTATAACAGAGTCAGGTTGGAAAGCAAGCCGCATTATACCCAGTTAATTTTTAAAATCTGCTGAATGAGACTTAACCCTTGCCTTACATAGCATTAGGTTTTGTTTACAATTTGGTATCTTATTGCCACACTGAGTCTGTTTTGTCAGTCTTTTTTTTTTCAGTTGGAGTCTCACTCTGTCACCCAGACTGGAGTGCAGTGGCCGCTCCCGGCCACCGCAGCCTCGACCTGCTGGGCTCCGGCGATCCTTCCACCTCAGCCTTCCAGGTAGCCAGAATTACAGGCGTGCGCTACCACACCCGGCTGATTTTTTGATTTATTATTGTAGAGATAAGGTCTCGAACCCGCGGGCTCAGGCAATCCACTCACCTCAGCCTCCCAAAGGCGTGGGATTACAGGCTGAGCCACCGAGCCTGGCTTGTTTTATCAGTCTTATAATCTCCATTTTAAATTTAATGCTGTTTAGTTGCACCACAACTCCAAAACAGAAGGGGTATAATGAGGTGTGCTCAAACTCCCTTCCAGAAATTGAGTTTTCACGGCTTTCTAGGGTCCCTTTGGCCCTAGAAGGGGGGTCTAAAAGGCCCTAAAAGGGGGTCTGTTCAGTTGGTTGGGAGGTTTAGGGATTTTTTTTTTTGGTTTACCCTATTTAGAAGTTTCTGCATGACAGTAAAAAATGCTTCTCACTGTTTTTGAGGTGTTTTGATTCTTTCTTTTCTAATGTGCCTCACAAGTGAACAATTTTATCTAGGTTAAAATTTCCTCACTTTGGCCACTGTAACTCTAAGTTACCTTTGGTGGGTTCACTCATTTCTCCAGAAAAACATAGACTCTTGGCCCATAGTTCTTATACATGAAATTTGCTAGAGTTCCACATGGAACTCTCTAGACTCCTGGATCCAGATGAACCCATGACTCCTGTCTTCTCATAACCTTTTGTGTCAGAAGCTTCCTACAGGACTCAGTCCAGTTCCCACGGGCTTTGTACTGGAATCCAGGCCAGTTTCTGTAATCCAAAGTGGGTCTGGATTAAAAATGCTCAAATAAACTTAAGAACTTGACACAACTTGAGCCTGTATCCAAGTGGAGCCTACTGTGACCTCCAAATGCACAGCAGAAAGTGATCACACAGGGTTCAGTGTTTGAAGCAGGATCACTCCCCATTGATTACCAGCTTGTCCTCAGTTGGATGGCACAGAATGTTGTCATAAGCAAGAAGTTACACCCAGTGAGTTTATACCCACAGGGAGGGGCCAGGGAAAACAGAAGCCTAGGATTCACTCTAAGTCAATCCCCAAAGCTCAGAAAGTGCCCACACTGGGTGCACATGCTTCATTTGTGCCACAGATGAGGGACTCTGAAAAGCAGCCCATGGGGTTATGCATCTCAGAGTCCCATGAATCACTGGGACTTCTTGAAGAGTATTCTGTTTTAGGGGAGGACCAGAAAAGAATTTGAGCTATTTCAGTCAGTCTCTCCCTGGGTCAGGATATTGCATTCCCGGCACATTGTACAGTTAATCTTGAGAACTACAAGCAAAAACAAGAGAGGGGAGAACTGTCCTAAACAGCAGTACACCTTCACCTGTTTACTCGTTGTTCCTGGGGTCATCACTGGGGGGGGGGATTGTGGGAAATGGGTTTGACCCTCCTCAGTTTTGTCGTTAAAGCACGACACAGAGACTCACGAGACTGGGGAGTGAAGCAGCTCTTTAAATCTCATTCTTGCAACAACAGGTGTCCCTTGGGTGAGCAAACATACTAAGGCAGTCACAGCCAGCGTATTTATGCCCTAAAACACAAGTTCTTCCCCTGGATCCCCATTGGCTAAGTACTTCAGAGGTTGCATCACTTTCCTAGACATTGCCTAAACAATAATTTTGTACAAATAGTACAAAATTTTGTGTTTGAAAAACACAATCAGTTTCTACACAAATAAGGTAAAATGCATGTTTCCAGATTCTGATTGGGTCTCAATGCCTACCAAAGGAAGTCTGCCAAAAGAGAAAGCCCACTAAAAAAGGAGGAAGAACTAGGAAGTAAAGTAACAAATCGCCATTTTGAAAATAAATCTCCATTTTGTTTTTTACAGGATGATGGGGGGAGGGAAGAGGAAGAGGTCTTCAGATCCCACTTCTGACACCAGAATGGTTAAAGAAACACTTCAGGCAGGCTCAGTGGCTCAGTCGGTAATACCAGCACTTTGGGAGGCTGAGACAAGTGGATTACCTGAGCCCATGAGCTCGAGACCAGTCCGGGAAACTTGGCGAGATCTCATTTCTACAATAAATCAAAAATTGGCCGGGTGTGGGAGCACACACCTATAGCTCCAGCTACCTGGAAGGTTGTGGTGGGGTTGCTGGAGCCCAGCAGGTTGAGGCTGCAGTGGCTAGGAGCATACCACTGCAGTCTAGTCTGGGCAACAGAGTGAGGCTCCAACTCAAAAAAA